ATTGATTTCAAGTTATTGTGCATTTGCAGTTTAATGAACAGATTCTAGTCATTTTTAACTACATTTTTTGCATCCATTTCCATGTGATTTTTCTTCCAGTTAGGAGCAACAGGACAGTTCAGGCTATGATTCAATGTCTTCTTTCTTTATGGATGTATTTGTCCAATGACAAGCTCAATGTGAGCAGTGAGTTATAAGTTGTGCAATTTGTGACCTCAATAAAAAAAACTACCCAGACGTTTAGCCACTGATCTGTAGATCAGTTGATATAAGAAGATCAACATAGAGGTTAAAATGCTTTTTCACTACAATATCAGTGAATCATAGGAATTCTTCATCAAAAGAAATGCTTTTATTTGAGAGTTCATCTGTATTTCAAATGATTCAGGAAATGAACTGAAATAATTTTATTCAAATATACAGAAAAACCAAATGACAATTTTAAGCTGACCAAGACCAAGAGTGTATATCTACACTGAAATTATTCACACCGTTCATAGATTTGGGCCTGGTTCTTACTGTGTCATCAGTTCCAGAAACTTGCTCTGCTGCCTTTATCATGAGTTTATAGACCATAATAAATAACACACCTGACTGACAAAGGAAGTCTATCATGTGACACCAACTAAAATGGAAAATTTGATCAACAACGTATCATGTGACATGATGACTGTGAATTACACAGTTTTTTTTTCTTCCAAAGCTTCATTGTTCTTCTGCGATACTATTTATAGTATGCTCACAAGGTGTATGTGTCATCAAACGTGATGCTACCAAAAACCGGTTTCTCAGGTCCTTCAAGTTTGCGGCTGGGTATAAAACGAGCCGTGCTGGTTTAACGCAGGCTGATTTGTATCATACTCGGCCGAAAATGACCGTAAAAAAACTTCATATTGAATATGACGCTGTAAACAACAGGAACACTTTTACAAATGGAGATACCATAAATGGACGGATAATCTTGGAGGTCTCAAAAGAAACAAAAGTTCAGTCGCTTCTTTTCATTGCTAAAGGAAAAGCGAGGGTTTGCTGGAGTGAGCATTACGGCAACAACCAAACTCATGTATACTGGTCTGATGAGAAATACTATAGTGTAAAACATCATATGATAAGGGAATCGAGACAAGATGGTAATGTTTGATTTCATATTATAAAAAGAAAAACATGTAATGTCTTGAGCTATTTAATTGTTGACATGCTAATCTGATGTCTTTTCCAGGGACTGAAGTCATCAGTAGAGGAAAACATGTTTTTCCTTTTACCTTCAAGATACCTGACAGGTATTTTTGTCTTTTGTTGGTTTACCTTTAAATCTCTTTTCTGTCTTGTGCAGTAATCCTTCGTTGTTACGTTACTTAACAGGAAAATGCCATCATCTTTTCACTCATCTGTGGGGAGAATTGTTCATAAGTTGAAGGCGGAGCTCAAACAGTCAGTGAAGCTGAAAAAGAAAGCTAAGATCCATTTTATGTTTGTGTCCAAAGCCGACATGGACACACCGGGACTCTTGGTGAGAAACAGAATGATTAAAAGTCAATCTTGATAAAGTGCTGCACACCACAAATTAATTTTTTTTCAGGAGATGGCAAGATGTTATTCAAATTTTTATTCCAGTCGAATCTGTGCTTCAGGTTCCCCAACAGGAAAGCAAGGATAAAAGTCTTGCATTTGGTTCTGGAAATGTTTCGATGGACGTCCATGCAAAGAAAATGGGATACAAACTTGGTAAATTTTTGGATAGGGAAGAAAAAAGGAGGAGGAAATCCCAACACTTCATATTTTGATTTCCAACTTTGCACCAAAGCAAAACCTGCGACCCATTCTGCCATATCTGAGTAGTAGAACTTTACCAACCTCTTCACCAAGATCAATCCTGCCATAGTTGTTTTATTCACCACAACTGTCTGTCTTTTACGTTTCAGTGTAAATATCTGCCTCTATTTTACAGGCGAGGCCATGTACGTCAACATTCAAATCAATAATGCCTCAAGTCGTTCAGTTAAACCCAAATTTGAACTATATGAGAAGAGGAGCTTCTTCGCTCAGGGTCAACGGAAAGTTCAGACACGCACTATTCTAAAGGAAAAGTCTGATGTTGTTGAAGGACGATCCGGCCAAAAAATGTTAACGAAGATTATCGCCATTCCCAGAGAGCTTACTCCGTCCATCCTGAACTGCTCCATCCTGAAACTGGAATACAGGCTGAAAGTAAGCTTCAGTCGTGACTTATTCATATCTGTTTTGATTTTACAGACATTGGACCTTTGATTTATTTAAAGACAACAAAATCAAAAAGTTGTCACATGATGAGAAAATGTTTACATTATTTAGAAAATTGTCACCAATACAAGACAATGAAGGAGAACAGAAAGGAACCAGCCTTCTTAGTATTTGATGCTTTTATTCATGTTACAAAAACAATAATGCAGAAAATATTTGTCTAATTATAGAGAACATTAACAAATCCCTAACCCTAATGCTATGTTGTGGAACAAAATCTTCAAATATTAAGGAAATTAAACTAAACACAAAATGTATGTTTCCCCCGTGACTTTTTCTCACAGGTGTACCTTGATATCAAATGTGCTGCAGACCCAAAGGTTAAACTGCCCATTGTCATTCTCCCTGAAGATATCAGCAGAGAGTCGGGTGAAATACAACCACTTCCTCCTGCCAGGTTTGGACTTGAAGCATTTGGAAACCCAAACCCACAAACCTGGGGCACCACATCACCAGCGATGAGTCCTCCACCTCCCTATGAAGCATCTGCCATGTTTCCCTCTTTCCCCTCTGAATATAAGACTACCTTGTAATATTGTATTTTTCTTCTGTCGTGACCGCAATGCTGTTGTACCTGCACTATTTATTTTCCACGCTGTGATTCAACACTCTTGTTATGTGGAGAAACTTTAAAAAATATATATATATTTCTTTCTAAATCGTAAATTAAATCATGACACAGATTTAACAACCTTGACAGTTTTGAATTACAGTGGACATAATTTTAATAAAGCAGTGCATTGTTAAAATGGTTGGGGTTTTTTTAAACTACAGAGCAAATATTTCATAAACTGTGCTTCTGGAGCAAAACTTCGGTAAAAACGTCACTGAAATTAGCTAATATCAGTAAAAGGGGTGAAATTAGACTTAAAAAGCACATCCTCTGTTGAAGCTTATATTCTCTCCAGCAAGTTATGTTCATGAACTAGTCATCTCTAATCAGGTGATCTCTAATCTGATTGGTTGAGACACTGAAGATGTTAACCCTTTCTGAGCTGGAGTACAACTTGTTTAACTAAAATGTGCTCATGCCTACAGTATAGAGTACAAATATTTCACAACATATTTTTGATGATATATCATGTCAAAGTAGCTCCCAATGATGTTCTGAAATATATTAAAGTCTGTGAAAGTTGATAGGCATCTATGCACTTTAAATATCTCACTGTCATCATACAATCTTGGAGATGTTTCAAGTGAAGCAACTCCTAACACAATTCTGCCATTTAAATTGTCCGATTTCCAGGCAATGTTTTCTAGCAGATGCCATTTTGCCATTTGCTACCATCTCATTTACAGACAATTAAAAGAGGCACATAGAGCATGCATAAAAATAAATACAAGATAAAATAAGTATGTAGTAAGGAATGCTAATACAATGTGCATTTACACGGTTCACATGGACATTGAGGTAGAGATGAGTCGGTTTGTGGACAGTGCCCTCTGCTGATTGGAAAAAGTCACCTCCATATCTTTAGTCTTGTTTATGTTTTGTTCCAGACCACAACTGTGACACCAATCCACAAACTCATTTGTCAGACTTGGCAAATGACCACTTAATTTAACCCTTAAATGCAGGAGTGACAGGACCCTAAGTGACCCTATATCAGTGTGTTTAAGGATTATCGTTGTAATATGTATTGTTATATAATTGTGTTAATCAAGTTGTGTCTACACAAGAATGATTTTAAGTGAATTATTAAATTAATTATTAATTCAGGGGCACTGAATTATTTTATTTTTATTATTTTGAACATTTTAATAAAATTTTTGAAAGTTGCACAGCAATAGAACAATATGAAAATCTATTTTGTTTGCCTGTGAGTGTGTAAGAGTATGCGTGTGGAAGACAAGGCCCTATAAATGTTAGCTAGTTTACAAAATAGGCAAACCAAATCAAATGTACTCGCAATAATGGGCATTTTTCCTCTCCACTGTTACTACAAGCAAGGGCAGTAAGAGGGATTGCTGCAAAACAATGCAAGCAATTATCTGCTCATCCAGGAGCAGTGAATGCTCCTGCTGCCCAGAAAAATCAACCAATTTGAATAACTAAACTTAATACACTGAACCAATAGCTAGGACCAATTGGGATGAATGTATGATTGGCTTGCAATGACTTTTGCGAAGCACTTTGAGATGACGTGTTGTCAATAGGTGCTATAAATTGGAATTAATTGAATAAAATTAGAGATATTAGTTAGCTGGTAAGTGCAAATTCTTCACTGTATCTCTTCCAAAGCACAAATACACACAATTACAGTGTCATCATTCAACCTTGTTACACATTTCCCTTAGTGTTCAATTTCTATGGGTTTAATTAAATGCGTGGTTTACTGTGGTTTTTACCAAAACCTAGTGAGTTTTATGTCCATAGTGCAAAATGTATTAACCAAGACAAAAACTGATGTGTTCAATACTTCTTTTCCCTGCTGTGTCTTGGGTATTGAGCCTGAAAGATCTAAAATACTGCAATGCCCTATACTACCAGAAGAGGGAGCTGCAGCATGAATGTGAGAGGTTCTGAAAAGTCAAATGTACTATACACTCTGAAACAGTTAAATAGTCCCGAATCGGTTTCCTGTTTGCTCAATGATAGATTTCAAAACTTGTTGCTCTATAAGCTACTGAATGTCCAAAGGACAAAATACATTTCAGTGATGCTGGTAAGGTAGATCCTCTCGTCATCGGAGACTTTGTCCCTCAGTGTCTTCAAGATGCAACATCTGGTTTTTGTTCGAGAAACTTTGGCTTCTTTAAATCAACTTACATATGGTCATGTTAGTTTTTTTCCCCTTGAATTTATTATCTCTTAAGGTTAATATTTTTATGGAAGTTGCTTTATGGGAGTTGTTAATGTTTCAAGTGTTTTTAAGTCCATTTATTGTTTCTATCCTTTTTGAATTTCTCTGAATGGTGCGATACAAACTTGCCAGTAAACCTAATGTTGATTTCTATCTTAAAGCATGGATCTCGATGTCACAACACTGATGCAACAGGTGCCATGTTTCCATAAACATTAAATCCAAAGTGAAAGGAGAGGTCACAGATGTCAATAATGGATCCTGGACTGTGTGGTTTGCTCATATTGTCGCCTATGAATACTGAAAATAAAATGCTCTTTGGACTAAAGTCTGATAACAGTCGTGGAAATTTATTAGCTGCATTTAGAAATCTTATCTGGCGATTGATTTACTGTACTTATCGGACACTAGTAAAAAATTCAGTTGCTTTTAAAATGAAAGGTGAAAACATGCACCAGCTCTCACACTTCAACACAACAACTATTACTTCTAAAAATCTATAAAAGGCTCTGAAACCAACTCCATCCATGTTCACTTATACTCGGACCAAATTCCACGTCTCTGTTGAATGAAAACATCATGATGCTGCCACTACGATGCAAGACAATGGTGTGTTAGTGATGATGTTGTTAGTTTTCCACCACACACAATCCAAAGCGATTTAGATGAGGATTGAAAAGTTTCAAGTGTCAGCTGACTAGAATGTCTTCTTCGTTGTGAATGGCGAGTGCCCTGCCTGGCTTGTGGCAAACTTTAAATAGGACATCTTGATTCTTCTGTTCTTCTTCGTTCTTCCAGCTTTGTGGACTGCAGGTATAACATTTATCCTGTCGACAGAGCCTCTCACCTCACCTGTGGATCCCAGAGTTATTATGGCTCTCATGACTGTTTCTGTGATTAACGCTCTTCTCACACAGCCTGCAAATTTATAGTGACAATCATGTGGCATTCCTATTTTTTATTGTCTGTAGAACGAAGGAACAGAGATTCAAAACCCAAATAAAGCATTTTATATGTATAAATGAAAGCAAACACCATGAACAATAGTCACATCAAAAATATTGTTGGGCTCACTTTCATATAGTTTACGAGATTACTCATTAAATGTGTTTAGAGTCAAGAGCCATGTGCAAATCAAAGTCCCTTAGTTCATGCCTAAAGATAAGATAATAAATTCGATTTCAAGAGGATTCATGAAAAATAACTGCCACAAATATTTTAGATTTGACCTGTAAGATGCAGGAAGCATATTGATAATTTGTACTGTTGTGATTAGCTGTATGCATAACAACAACGGTAACAGTAAGATGCTTGTAACTCTTTTCTTTAATGTAAATGTAGAAGTATTTGTTTTAAACTTTGTAAACATTAGTTATGTCCTGACATATTTGCAAACACCACAAAATACATTTCTATTTAATCTTGTGTGCCCCTCTACTAAAATCGATTTGCCGATTATTACTCAAAATTAGACTTTACAAATGTAGGCATTGCAAGGATTTGTCACTCTGTGAAGAAACATGGATCGGATATAATGTACTAAGAGTGAAATCTATCATCATAATCCTGAGGAAATCATTAAAAATTATGAATAAGGTGTATCAAGGTGGATTTGAATTGAATGTACAAATAAGATGCGTAAAGGAATCCAATTGCAGCTATGTGTGAGAAACTGTAATAATTTGGTGGGTGGGAAGTGAAGACCCTTCCATATTTTTATGAGGACCTAAAATGTTTCGATTTTGTCTCTGACTGAAACTTGAAAGTGCAAAGAACAATGTATAAAATCACCATTTTTACAGAAGAATCTCAAATTTTGATATCAGATTTTTGTAGTATTCTCTAGCAAAAGCCCAGGAGCAAAGCGGTGCACAAAGTGCTCTCATTAATTAAAGTGCAGTCTGCAGACCCAAACAAACATTCAAGTCCAGCTCTCCGATATTTAACTGGAGCTGGACTTTTGTATTGATTTGCTTCAATGGCGACTTCTTTTTCTGATCAGTAGCACATTATAAGGTTCAGAATGACAATACAGTCAAATGTGACCAAAAATGAAGATGATGACGGCAGAGCAACACACTTAATAAAAAGCAAACGCATGTCCGTGGAAACTGTAGTGCCTCCGTACAAGCTTCTAAAATAAATATAAAAACATTTGTGAGCAAATCACCAGATTATTTATTGTGATTCAGAAATTGTCACTTTCATCCCGTAATAGTCTTAAATTCAGTTTGGGTAAATCCCATAAGGTACCATTTGTGAAGAACTGCAGCCTTTAGCAAAGCTTTTGAAGGAGCTTTTACTATTGCACAGACTGCTTTTATGGACTATGTCATGAATTTCAAAGAGTGCCTCCTTTGAAAAAAAAAATGAAGAAAGACACTTCCTTAATTATAAAACAAGGTGCTAAAGCGTACATTTAAATCCAGGAAGATTAGGTTTTATTGGGCTGGACGGGAAAGGGAGGCTGTTCTCGCCACACTTACTATTGTTGAGGCATTTAACACGTGTGACAAGATCTGCAGACCACAATGGGAAGACAATAAACCACAAGGATATAAATAGAGTCAGTCCCCTCTGGCAAGTTTGCTCCTGCTGAAAGCAGTCTTCTTTTTTGCCTCCCTTTTGCTTTGATATCTGTTTCCTCTCGCCAGACATGATGAAGTCGAACATAAAGAAAATAAATGTTACTTATAATTCGATGGATGATGAATCTCCGCTGACTAACGGAGACACGGTTGAAGGTGAGGTGACGGTGGAAGTGGAAAAGGAATGCCGAATCAACTCCCTCTACGTCAAGTTCAAGGGGAAAGCAAACGTTTTATGGAGCGAGACGAACCTCAACAGTACTAAGTTATACCGGGCCAAAGTCAAATACTTCAGCGTCAGACATTACTTCGTTAACGAGAAAAGCCCCAAAGGTAAACTTTTGTTTTGGTTACTGCAGGTTTCCTTGTATAGATATTTTTTTTCTTCACCAGAATCTTGATATTATCAAGGAGAAAAGTATCGTAATAGCCTACGAGCTGTCATGTGAAATAAAAAATGTATTTTTTTTTTATTTTTCAGAATAAATATGAGAAAAGCTTTAAATCTGGCACAAAGCCCATCTGGTGACAGGGAAAAAAAATAACTTGTCATCACGACTTGTGTAATGCGTGGGAACGGCATCATGCGCACATCAAACTCTTCCGACGTCAGTATCGGCGCATGGTCAAAACTGGCTTCAAAATGCAATAAAACGTAATAAAAACAAAATTATGTAATCGACCGAAATAGTAATAAAATCACTGAATGCAGTCCTCTGTCAATCAAATCGCTTAAATGTGTAATATTTACAACGTGATTGTTATTAGAATATTAATTGGGATGCACACAAACACTGGTTGCATAGTGTGCAACATTATTACGGTACAACTTTTAACAAACACTCGTTTGTTAAAAGTTTACAAAGTGCCGTCAAGGATTTTATTCCATTACAATTAGCATTATCCAGAACTAAGAGTATTTTGCAAAGAACCCATGCCTCACTGACTGAAGAATAAAACAAAGTAAGACCTGACTTGTGTCCATGTTTGGAACACCTGCCAGCATGGAGCAGCAGGGACTCACTTTTGAAATCATCTTATTGTCACAAATTAAAAATGTAGCTACCACTAATTAAGCAACTCGTTCCCACGAGCTATTAAGTTGTTTCCAAGTCTTGATGAAAGTTTTCAGACCTTTTTCCATCATTTTATCCCAAATAAAAACAATTTGACCTTTGCACACTTTGTATTCTGGTTCAGCTAAAAAGAAAATTATTTATCTTTCGCATTCAACCTAATGTGAGCATCAGATATTGCCTTCCTGAATGTTTGTTTTGGTATTCTCCTGTCAAAAACCAGTAACAAAGACAAACTAAACAAGCAACTAAATACACAATTTCAAAGCAGAAAGTGAATAAAGTTGAGTAACTGCAGACTGTGAAACTGTGTACAGTGTTGAGAATAAATAAGTCGGTGTTTACCTTTGATCTCTTTCAGCTAGTGGCTAAGCTAAACCTAAAGGAAATGACATGTCAGGAAATTACATGTCAGGAAATTACATTTTGTCTGTTACCTCCTAAAGGTGGCATGCCAGAATGGACCAGCTGTATTTTGGTATTAATAAATGGCATTCATGAATTCAGCTCACCGACTCTTCTTTAACCTCATACATCAAGAACTCAGCATGTAGAACGGATGATTCTCCTTATACAGGTTACTGTATAACTGATCTTATGTCACTTTTGAGAAAAGGTGATTTCTCAATTCATTTGCATTTTATTTAACATTTCCTGCAGTTTTTTTTTTATCTTTTTGTAAGTTTTTAATATTGTTTTTCATTTGTTTAGAGTCACATATTCTGACTCCAGGAATTCATGTCTACCCATTCTGCTATCAGTTCCCTGAAGAGTAAGTAACAATGACTCCCAAAAGTGAGAGTCATTGTTTTTTGTAAGATTTTTTTTTATTATTATTTTAATAAATCAGTGTAATGCTTATATAATGTGACATTTGGTCAAATGTAACTCAGCGGTGATTCTGTGTGCCCCCAACCAGAGCCGGTTGTTGTTTAATTACCTCATTTCTCCTTGGGATCATTATAGCGTTTTTGATTTTGAATTTGAATTGAGATGTTGCCTAGAGCTCCAGCTGTTGAAGGAGAACATACAAAGTAAGGAAAACAGAATGGATTGAACAGCAACAATGTGTAGCCCCTCTGCGTTCAGCTCTTTGGCAAGCCACTGAAAAAAAGCTGAGCGCAAATGGAGAAAAAGTCCATTTATGCTCTCTTGTCAAGTTGGCTTATGTTAGACCATTTTGAGAAAAGGTGATCAATTTTTCTGTTCTGCATGATGCTCACCATCACCTGGCTTTCTCTGGTTCCTCTCTAGGGGCATTCCCTCCTCCTTCTACAGCAGGTATGGAAGCGTGACATACTCTCTGGAGGCTGTTTTGAGCAGAAAAATGAGCATGGACAAGAAGAGCACGATTCCAATAAATTTTTTTGCAAAAATAGACCTGAACTCAAACCCTGAGTTAATGGTATGTTCTGGCATCCACTTTTATTCAATTTTTAGATGTTAAAAAAATGATTCTATAGTATATTGTTGGTGACAAAAATCTTAAGGTTCAAGATGGATTTTGACAGCAGTCAAGACAAGGTCCTGGTAAGGAGGCAGAATAGGATATTTTGGAGTTTTGGTGGGTAGAAGAGGGCTAAACATTTTTAGTTTGTTGGGGATTCTTTTACACCATTGTAATGTCATCATATCAATTTATAATAGTCTCCAGCTCAAGCTGCCTGAAAGCTTTACGAGAGCTTAAATCACTGTTTACAGTCATCTGTGTTGGAAGTAACTCCTCAATTTGTATCTTACAATGAAAACATTAATTTAGTAAGTCGCCTTTCAGGAACCAAAATCCGAATCCCTGGAAAAGACAATGACATTATTCACCGCAGGAAGTGTCGCCATGGATGTGAATCTTGAACGAACATGTTTCTTCCAAGGTCAGAGGTTATGAAGTGCTATTGACAGTGATATACAACTGACTGTTTGAAGGCTTTTTCTTACCTCTCTTTGTGTTCCACAGGAGAAGAATTGTCAGTTTCGTTGAGGATTCAAAACAATTCACCTCATGACATCAAGCCCAAGTACTCTATATACAAGAAGACAAGCTACTTTGCACGGAAGAAGAGAAAATGCCAGACTAAAGTTATAGTAAATGAGGTGGGAACACCCATCCCTCCTTCAGCTTCAGAAAATGTTACAAAGGTCCTCACCATTCCCAAAGATGTGAAGCCCTCCATACATAACTGCAAAATCATTAAAGTTGAGTACAGGTTAAAGGTAAGCAACCCCAAACAGTTGGACAGTTGTGTGATGTTAAAAAGCAAAACATCACAAATAGAACAGATTGATCAGACCTCTTAGTTGCTTCTGCAACCAAAACTCCCCCATGCAATAAAACTCAGAGCTGATCAGACAAGAACTGCTCCCCAATAAAACAAAACAAACAAGAAAATCATCTTGCTTGGAGTAAAAATCCTACAGAGATTCACAAGCTTGGATCTCTGTGGACTTTGTCCTACTCTGTTGGATAGGCAAAGTTGACCGAGGAGTTTTACAATCTTCAAAGTAAAGCGGAGAACTTTTAAAACATCCAGGTTTTCTAAAGCCGACACCTGGGAAGATCTCCACCACATTCAGTTCACTGCAAAAGCGTGGCGCTAAAAAAGTGCGGCTGTTTCATTAAAGCGAAACAGAGGATCGCTTAGCTGCCGACATCTCCCAGAATGCCGTGCGCTTCTGGGTCAGAGTTTAGTGAAATTAATGAAAAATCTATGGGATGTATTATCCCATAGATTTACATCCCATGGATGTATTATCAGTTGATATAAGCATTGTTATTGATTTATTTTCTAGGCCTAACTATGATATATATTTTCACCAAATGCTGTTACAAACTTTGATTGTATTGAATATGTTCTTTTCCTAAGATATTGAAGTTACTTTTTTTTTTCCCACAGGTTTACCTTGATGTGAAGCGTGCTTTAGATCCAGAGATTAAAATAGAAATAGTCATCCTGCCATCTGGTACATCCGCAGGATGGCAGGATGTGCCATCCTGCCATCCTGGAACCAGGGTGGAACCAGGGTCATACCCTCCTGCTGACCTCAAATCACATGGGAACTATGGGACTCCAGACCCTCCAGCCTGGGACTTTGCACGTCGAATTCCACGAGCAGTGCTTCAACCGTCTGGCCATCCTTCCTTTGGGGGATTTGGAACGAATCCTTCTTCATAACATGTTTCCTGTAAACATTAGACAAGAAGAAAAGACACTCGTCTACTTTTACTCAGAATCAGGTTTATTCGCTAAGTTTCACAAACAAGGAATCCAGGCCTCCATTGGTTAATACATTTGATTTCCATTGATGATTTTTGTGTGATTTTGTTGTCAGCACATTCAACTTTGTACAGAACAAAGTATTCAATGAGAATATTTCATTCATTCAGATCTAGGATGTGTTATTTGAGTGTTCCCTTTATTTTTTTGAGCAGTGTATATATATATATATATATATATATATATATATATATATATATATATATATATATATATATATATCTGACTACAGCTACCCAGAGAAGACCTTCCCTTTGTCTCCAAAGAACCCTGACCGCCTTGGTTCAGATGTCCTCATACCTCTACTCTCAAGCCTTCCTTGAAGTGACAATGGGCGCTATATAATGCCAGTTAGCCTGAAAACTGACCTTCAAGACAAGAGTTACTACTACTACTACACTACTACTACACTATCTGGGAGGAGTCTCTCGGAAACCCTCAGTTATTTCTCTGAGTGGGTGGGGCTTATGTGATGTCATAAAATAATCAAACCGGTGTGCTGTTGGAATAATCTAGGAAACATACTGGAGTGATGTTCCAATATGATCCTATTAGCCACTTTAGAGGTTACAATTTATATCCAGTTCACTGCTTGGTCCAAACAAGTGCATTGTGCTTGATATCAGTCTTTGCATATGAACGATGAAATAAAGCAAAACCAAAGAATGCAAAATGTTTTACATGTTAATATTAAATTTGCCACAGGATTTCTGTTTTCATTTTATATTTGTAACTGATAAAGTTTAAATCATAACTCAAAATGCACAATCACAATTTTGCATAAATGCAGCCCGTCTTCATTATAAGCACAGACTGTGTGTGGATTTTGTCAAATTTAACCATCCAAATTTAGAACGTGCAGATTGTTCTTAAAAAGTTATAAGTATCCTTGGCCTTGGTTTCCACTGAGGACAATATTTTTGCACTATGTTGTACAGACAGACGACCTTTAGAGCTTAACACATTTTGTGGATTCAGGAACACTTACTGCTTTGGTGAGAAAGCTGTTCTGATTTGATAAAGATGTGACACAAACATTTTGCAGAGATATGGATAAAAGCAGTTCTTATAGGTGAAAGGTCAAATCTGGAATGTTTTGTTTACACTACAAAGTACATAATAAATGTATGATCTATGTTTCTCCTTCATTGTGTCTTTATGAAGAAATAAACATATTAAGGGCATTTAGATATTTACATAAATGCAATTGATGCCCTTCAAAGGTAGTCAGTATTTCAAAAATAATGTCAGGATCCCTATGGACATTTTGAAAGTATATCCAGTTACGTAAATTTTAAGGTTACATAAAAATTATGTTTTTATGTCATCTAAAAATTATGTTTGGTTATTTTAAGTACCTTAAGATAACAGAATAAGAGGCTCCTTTTGAAATCAAATGTGATCTTCAGGTACTCTCTCTTGTTTAGTGCAGAGTCAAGTGTTTCAACAATATACACAAAAAATGAGATGAGAAAATAGGAATTTTTATTCCTATTACACCATTTTTTTGGTTCTGTTTATAGCTACGTCTGTGCACTTAGTTGTTGGACGTTTCACTGTAGATTTGATTATTTCAATGTTCCACTTTTTCAGGTACAAACGTTGCCTCATCCCACAACATTTTGTACCTGAAATGAAAAAGGGCCCAAACAGAAATGAGAACCACATTAAATGTGGTGTAATTAACATTTAGGAAAATTATACATGAGATTTGAGCATTTGTATCGGCATATAATAGAACATCTAAAAATCCAATAAAACTGTAATGCAATAATTTACGCACAAGTTAGTTTGACAGTAAGAAGGGATGAAATGCAATGCACAGGTTCAAGCAAGGGCTACAAGTTGCTGAAAAAGTACATTGTTAATTGTTTGTAACTCACCATGACTTGTAGATTTAGACCTGATTCAAAATACTTAGCCTTAGTGACACTCTTGTTTTACTTGTTTGGCTAGACTGTAACATCTGATACTCCCATTTTTTTAGGGTTCCAAGTAGGAACATTTGTGATTTATTTTATAAAATACATAAATATATATGTTTTTCTCAGCTTGTATGCATCAACATTTGGAATGTAAACCAAACTATCAAAACCATAATGACATACAATTATCGCAATGTAAAATTACGGCTGTGGAAACACAAAGGGAGATTTGCCATTTCAGTGGGAGAGAAAACCTGGAGCAGATAAATGTTACAGAAAATATGTCATGTCACACTTACGCAGCTTGCCCACATTTGTTAATACTTGTTTACTCAGCTGCTTGGTATGCCAACATTGCAGTTTGATTGTTTTTTTTTTTTACCAGAAAATAAACCACATTTAGTTTGCCAACAATGCATTCTGCAGGAATGATGCAACGTAAACAGGTTTCTCGGGATCTCCAAGCTCGTATAAATGCTGTGGAGTCAGTGTGTTGGCTGCACTCGGGGCTGATTTTCACAATGGTTCGCACTCCTCTCTCTGCTGAAAATGACTATCAAAAACTTTCAGATTGAATATGACGCCATCAACAGAAGGAACATTTTCACAAATGGAGACACCATTAACGGACGGATCATCCTGGAAGCCTCCAAAGAAACGAGAATCCAGTCACTTGTTTTTATAGCCAAGGGAAAAGCTCGGGTTCACTTCACTGAACACTATGGAATACTGGGAAAAACCAACCCAGAAAGAACTGAGGATTACAGGCATAAACAGAAATATTACCGACTGAAGCAGTACATCTTGAAAGAAACAAGACAGAATGGTATTGTATGGCTTCAAGTTTTAACGTTATTTGTTTGGCCCAACTTTAAGAGTCGATGATGCTGATTAAGCAAAAATAATAATAATAACACTTTTTAAGGGAGGGAAATGATTGGAAAAGGACGGCATGTATTTCCTTTCAGCTTCAAAATTCCTGACAGGTAATTCATGTTTAATTAGATGAGATTTCACATTTTGTCACTTTTCAGATGTTTAATCCTTGTGTGTGTTTTCTTTAATTTAACAGAACATTCCCTTCATCGTTCTCCTCAGTATTTGGCCAAATTATTCATACCTTAAAAGCCAAGGTTAAACAGTCTATGATGCCGACAAGAAAAGCTAAAACCCACTTCACATTTGTCTCCATAGCAGAGATGAATTTACCAGGGATCACGGTGAGAAAGAAAATGGAGTTCTTCAAAAACTGATATGATTTAAGGAACTCGGGGATGCGCCGTTTCAGAAAAATATAACATTATCTTATAGCATTTAATATATGTAAATCCCTATGTTGAAATGTCTTTTCAGGTTTCTCAGCGTAAAAGCAAGGAGAAACACATTGCTTTAAGATCTGGAGTAGTATCACTGGAAATTTATACCAGGCAGATGGGGTACATACCTGGTAAATACGGTTTTATTGGTATTCTGACTGTCTTCGTTCTCAAACACCATCTCAAATATTGACGGTTATGCAATGTGGCTCAAGAACCTCCCAGCCTCTCCTCAGGTTTTTTTGAGAAAAAAATATGACAAATTTTTTAGTGACAAAATTTGTCACTAAAATTTTTTTGTGACCAAATTTTAGTTCTGTCACTAAAATGACAAAACTAAAATTTTGTCATTTTAGTTTTGTTATGACTAAAATGACAAAATATAGGGCTTTAAGAACAACTGATAATATATGAGTAACACCTTGCATGGAAAATTGAAAATAAACTGCAAATACAGCTAATATGCAAGTTCAGTAGAACCAGTTTGATAAGAGTCTGACACCTTGCATAAAGGCTACCTTTATATTTTTGAAATAAGTTAAACGCGTTCAAATATTATTTTTTCAGCCCGTTGACTTTTAGGGGCTTCTCACCTTTGTTCATTCTTTTGCTGGTCTGTAACCCCCCGTCCTTCCTCCTCCTTGCTCTGTAATAACATAGATGCATTTCTCAAGTGTGCCTTCAACAAAAATAAAAAATAAAATGTCAAGACAACAAAACCCAAATAATTGTAATTTTTTATTTTTTTTATTTTGTAATTATAATGTAATGTGATCCCCATGTCCTGCTGCATAAATGATTTGAACTGACCACCTCTTTCTGTTGGGCAGGTGAAGATCTCCATGTCACTGCTAAAATTACCAATCTTTCTAATCGTTCAGTCAAACCCAAATTTGTACTGGATGAAAAGAAGACGTACAATGGAGGAGATTATATCAAAGTCGATAAGCATGACATTCTTCAGGAAAAGGCTGATGCTTTGAAGTCAATGAGTGGCACAAAAACTGTGACAAAGGTGTTTACTATCCCCAGAGAGCTACCTCCATCCATTTTAGTTTGTCCTATTATCAAGCTGGAGTACAGGCTGAAGGTAAGCTTTGCTACTTATTTGATTGCAAACTACACACAAGTACGTTATTATGTCATTTTCTTGTACATTGTACTAATATTTATGCAATTAATGACGTCAAAATAAAAATATTAAATGGTACTGCTGCTTTTTCAAATCACAAACAGCATTGTCGTCATGGCAAACTGTAAATGGCAAACGGCTTTTATTCGCATAGCGCCTTGTCCAGAGGACCCTAAAGCGTTTCACACACTGTTCACGCACACAATCACACGCCGATGGCGGTGAGCTACTACATAGTAGCCTCGCAGACCCCATTGGCAGTTTTTTTATGCAGTGATGCCTCCGGGCCCTCTGACCACCAACAGCATGCTGAAACTAGATTCACTTTTTGGGTGAACTGTCATCCCCAGACACAAATGTGCCCATCAAGTCCAACTAATTGGATTTTATTTCTGGTGGTACATTAAAAAGGTCTAATTTTAATAATTTGAAACAATAAAAATACTGAAACATTTCGTCTTCTTCTATTCATTTGAATGTTTTTTTTTCTTTCTCATAGGTATATCTTGACATCACATATGCGCCATACATAGTGCTTAAACTCCCCATTGTCATCCTACCTGACCTTTCCGACGAAAATCTCTTACCTCCTTCCAGTAGCTACATTTGTGAATTATTAGGAACTTCATATGAGCCACCAAGGATCACCAGATTACAGGCTATTGATCCTCCACCTCCCTATGAAGCAGCTGCATCCTACCCCTTGTGTTCATCTTCAGATTATACAACTATGTTATAGATACCAGCTTTGCATGAAGATGTTGGGATGTTTGGATGATGTTAGTCTACTTCGCTTTTAACATAAACCGCTCTGCAATCCAAAGTGGCTGACTGTGCGACGTACATTACAACTGGACAAACTGACAAGAAAGTTTTGTTCAAATTGTTTGTGTTTGTGTGCCTAAATTTCAGTTGGTATCTTTGAAACTGCTTTATTTATTTATTATTTATTTATTTAACTGTATTGCAGATCACTTTCTTTTTGTCAAATGAAATATTGTGTTGCTCTAGGTTTGCTTCCAACCTTCCAGCCTTGTGATTTAATGTGTTGTATCAATAAACTTACAGCCTTTAACTGACTTGGTAAATATCTGAATGTGGGGTTAGGCTACAATAAAAGCTTGATTACCAGGAACATCAAGCTATAACTACGGCTCCTGTTGGGTTTTTTTCCCCGTCCACAGCGGTCAGTATCGAAAGTGAAACACTGACTGGGTCACAGGCCACCGGGCTCATTGGTCTTTTCCACGGAAAGATGTAAGATTTCACAGTGGATCACTGATTCCTGTGTACTGACGCTCATGCTGGTTATAATGTTTCAGAAACAATCACAAATTACTGAGAAACAGGGTCACTGCTCCTTTCAACAAGTGTGAAGTGTGGCGCTGAAACTGTTTCAAATTATTCACAGACAACTTTGATTTTCATCTCTGTCCTAATGAAACATGTTGTCCAATATGCTGGATAACGCTGTCTCCTATTGGTGCCCCCCTGTCATTACAAATGTAGCGTCTTCTCACAAAGACGCGATTGATAAAAATATAAATATGTCCCTCACTGTCTTCAGTGATAGCATGCAGTGTTTTATTGATCTTAAATAAGCAATAGGGTTACAATAAGTAAAGCTTACTTACAATAAGTAAAGCTGTGTGTCTGTATAAGATGAACCTGGATAGACAGATGATAAACGATAGGTTAGCATTGTTGGACATTGTCAGAGCCTTGCAACAGAAGGTTTGCTGTGGTTTGAGATCATATCAAAACAGTATGCATTTAAGTCTGAGATACATGCAAAATTATCTGATATGCAATTTTGAAAAATGGTTCTTTATGTATAAAGGATCACTCAGAAACAACCATGATTATTCATTGATACAGCTCAACGTTGGAATATTTTAATTCCTTTGTTAGGTTGTTCAGGCACTTGTAGTACCTGAATGACTCGCTCCACAATCTCATCATAAGCCTTTATCCACTGATCCAATTCTCAGGAGTAAAAAAAGGCAGGTGTATATCACAAAGTCAGTTTTCCAGAAGGCCTGAAAGCTGCACTGAGATATTTTTACCACATGCTATCATAACAATTTCGTACAAAAACATTTCACAATCTTAAGAGCATGATCACAGTCTGGATCATCAAGCAAGTGTTTCAACACTCAAGTTAACCAGGTCTTTCTATCAATTCTTCAGAGTGTTGTCTGTGATTCAACAACCTTTGTTTATTTCTCCTGGCCTGCTTTTAACTTCTCATTTATCAAAGTTTAACAGCTTCACTCCACTGTCATTTAAATGAGATTTTTGTTTTTACAAGAATACTCTTATGTCACACAGCATGACAAAGTTTCACATTTTGAACTCCTATAAAGAGTAAGATAATCAAAAGGTGTTTTCAAAAACAATATGTGCTACATATCCGAACACTGAATTTCAGCTAAATCTGCCTTTTTTCTTTTTTTCAAAAAAATACTGGTGTGTTTTCATGACTTTATGTTTTTTTTGTTTGTTTTTTTTTTCCTGAAAGTACACCTTAAGGTGTTCCAACCAGTCACACGTTTTGTCATCAGACAACCTGAACAGGTTTGTCGGGATTTACAAGCTTACCTGCAGTGCGTGTTCTTTAGCACAATTGACACTGCTGAGGAGGACTGTTGGGTTCACACAGTTCCAACCTCGTCTTGGTTTGCGCTTCTCACTCTGATGAAAATGACCATCAAACACTTTCAGATCGAATACGATGCCATCAACAGAAGGAACATTTTTACCAACGGAGACATCATAAATGGACGGATCATCCTAGAAGCCGTGAAGAAAACAATAATCCAGTCGCTTGTTTTTAAAGCTACAGGAAAAGCTTCGCTTCGCTTAGTTAATTACTATGGGAACATAATAGACAGGGAGGATGAGAGAGATGATCAAATTCACCTGGACAAAATAAAATATTATCGAATCAAACAGGATATCCTGAAAGAAGGAGAACAAGAAGGTGACACGATTTTAATTTACTGTTCATTTCATTTTCTGTCACTAATTTAACAAGAGTTGACGATATTGATTAAACAAAAGCCTTTTCTCTTCCAGACTGGAACATCATTGAAAAAGGAAGGCATGTCTTTCCTTTCAGCTTCAAGGTACCAAACAGGTATGATTCCTTTATTTATTCTAGAGTTCATGTCTTTATCTCTTGTCAGACTGTAATCCTTTTTTTTTTTTTTTTTTTTTTTATATATAAATTTTTAATTAATATATTTAAAACATAT